TACTGCATCTGATCCACTAAAAACAGACAAATGGGAGATCCACACCCCATCCATCTAGCGGAACGGTCCGTTTACATTCAGCCTCCCCATAGAGAACAGCAGTCTGTATCCTTGTCTGCTCTGCAAAGGCAGAGCGGACACGAGCCTGTCATCCGCCTGCTCAGCAGGGATCAGCGGACAGGTCTCCCGGTGAGCAGGCAGATCCGCTTGGCTGAGTCCACGCAGTGTGAAAGGGGCCTTAACGATTCCTGTATGATAAGGATTATTTTACAATTTGACTTCTGATATAGGCACCTACAACAGACAAATCTGATGGTATACAGTCAGGTTTTCTAGGACAATCCCAATCCCAATTTATCGAATAGTCCCATTCTTTCTATTTTTCAGTTGGTCACTTCAGCTCCTTTCATTGTTTCACATCACATGAGCTGCACACTGGATAATCCCAAACAAACTATGGTGCAATACAGTGGGGTACCTGAGGGACTCCCAGATTTTGACACTTTAGTCCGGGCGTACCCGACTGTTGGCTTCTGCATGAGAGTGTCTGATGGTAGCCTCATTCAAGACAATCCAATTTGTCTAGTTCGACTCTATAGTCCAACTACTGTAGTTGTGGACTCAACCAGAATAGGGGATTTGTGAATACTCAAGAAAAATTATTTCAAACATCAGTGGCGCACAAAAATTTTTTTATTACAGACAAAATTAAAAGTATAAAACAAACACAAAAAAAATTGTACCACACTCCACAAGTCCCAAGTAGGTAAATCGCTGTCAGGGGAAAACTCGATAGTAGAAAGATAATTGTATGGATGACTCCTCTGTAAGACTCATTTGTAATCTAGAACATGTTTCATGCAGAAAAGAGTGCAAAGGCATAATAACAAAAAAGCTCCTATACTCAGAATTGACCAGCCATAAGCGCCAGGATAAACCCAGCACCAAACCAATCATACAGTGAGACTGGTGTGAATGTTAGTATAATACAGGGAGGGATGCAGGAAAGGTAGCAAAACCTCCCTCATACACTAGACACCAAGGAATAAAGATCCAGCTTAGTCCTTAACCTGATCATGTATGAAGGAGGTGACAGTGGCCTGTTAGGATCTCCCCGGGACGGTGCCCTACAGCTTGGCATCTGAGAGGGTCATGGGCCTTTTATATACCATTATTTATATCCTCCTCTGGACTACATGTGGTCATATGTTTAGGATCAGTTCCTGTTGTGATCTTTATGTCGATGGGCCACTCTGCTCTCCGTGTCTTGCGGTGTTGGGGTTTGGGCCCTGTCGGCCCTTTAAATTATGGTTCTCTGTCTTTTCAGGTGAGGCAGCTCGCCTACCTGATCCATGGTTTGTTGTGATCTGTTTAGCTATAGGGGCTGTTTGGGCCCTGTTTCTGTTATTTTTTGTTTTGTTTTTTTTTTTTTTGGTACATGATGGTAGTCATACACAATTTTGTGGATCTCCTTGCCACACATATGTGGCGTGGATATTTCATAAAATGATAAAGTCAGACTTCACCCTTCAGGTTGAAGAACTGGGTACTCAACCTTTTAGACCAAATTTCCCTGATACAGATCTTACTGATACAATAAGGATGTCAACTGCTTTTTTTCTTGCATTTAACCATGGTGATTCATTGCATCTCACATAATGTCCAAGGCTTTAATTCTCCAAATAAGCGCAAAACAGCCTTTCTCCAATATATAGGGGACTAGGGTCGAAGATTATTCTACTACAAGAGACCCATTTCGCAGCGGCTGAACATCCTACCTTTTTTCACAGATCATATAAGCAAGGGTTTTACACATTACTTTCCACCAAGAGCAGGGGGGATGGCGATCTTTCTTCAAAACTCATTTCCCTTGGAAGTACAACATGTCTATCGTGACTCTGAGAGCAGGTTTATTATTATCAAGGGCAGCCTTTTGGGTTGTGATCTTACAACAGCCAATGTTTATGCACCAAATTTGGCTCAAGCTACTTTTTTTTCCCACTTTTTTGATGTTCTTGATAAGTTCCTGTCCCCCATTTATTGGTAGGCGATGATTTTAATCTGATAGCCAACCCCTTATTGGATAGAAGTTCCTCCTCACTTTCTTCCCCGGCCTTCCCTAAGTCTCTTACTAAAAGAATAGAATTATTTCAGCTGGTTGACTCCTGGAGGGCACATAATGTGGGAGCTAGGGGTTATACATTTTATTCTCATCCGCATGACACTCTTATGCTAGGCTGGATTACATACATTACTCCCCGATCCTGCTGGCCAACTCCATGAGGGCGGGAATACGCTTGTGTTCTTGGTCAGATCACAATATTGTGGCACTGTCTATTACCTTTATAGGTCTAGCGTCTACTCCCTACTCTTGGCAGTTGAATGACTCTATGCTTACAGATGCTAGCTCCCAGCAAGATGTAGCTACCTCCATCCAAAAATATTTTCAACTGAACAATACTCATGATACCTCCCCGACTACGTTGTGGGTGGTTCTTCAAGGCTTATTTCTATGGCAACAGCCAGAAATAGGGATCTCTGGAAACAAATTCAGAAGCTCACTAGGGAACTGGAAACGCATTATAGAACTCATGTAGGTAACCCGTCTCTCCTCAATAGGGGCATAATATCACAAAAGCGTTTAGAAGTGGATACCTTACTATCACAAAAAAACTGAAAAAGCTTTACGTTGGTCTAAGGCTTTCCTTTTTATTACACAGAAATTGAGCGTTGACTATACTTAACCATTCAATACAAAACCACAGATATATATAAACTATGTAACAAGTATGGTAATGTTTCCTCTCTGCCCCACGAAGTTCTGGCAATTTTCAAAGAATTTTACTCCTCCCTAATAGCTCCTCCACTGTCGAATCCCCCTCCTCTAGATGTCTCGTGGCTTGATTCCTTACCTCTCCCTGCACTTACACCCTCTCAGATATAATCCCTTAATTAGCACACTGAAAATTTCCACAGCACCGGATCCCGATGGGTTCTCGGCTAATTATTACAAGCATTTTGCCACTCTCTTAGCCCCTTCTTTGGTGTCTATGTTCAATGAAGTTTTACAGGGGGACAGATTTCCTGATGAGATGCTTTTTGGCTAACATGTCCCTGTTGCCTAAACCTTTAAAAGATCACCTTTTACCACAAAATTATAGACCCATTCCAGTTACGAATAATGATTTAAAGATATTTAGCTGCATCTTAGCAGATAGATTGGCCCCTATCATCTCCTCCTTATTCTCACCTGATCATTCGGGATTTATTCCTGATAGGCTTATCACAGACAATATACTTCTCACACACTGAATATCATCCAAATGCTGTTTTGCATTCTAAAGAAGTGTTGTTACTGAGTCTAGACATTAATAAGGCCTTTGATAGTGTCCCCTGTCCCTATTTGTTTTCATTGTTGCAGAAATTGGGCTTTAGCGATTAATTTTTATTGGGTGTACAGGCTCTGTACGATTCCCCCCAAATACAAGGATTAGACTCCCCGGCTGCAATTCTGACTCTCTTTTACTTTGGGCAGAGGCACCCGTCAGGGTTGTCCTCTCTCGCCCCTACTGTTTGCACTTGTTTTGAAACCCTTGGCTATTGCTATAAGGTCCCACCCTGATATCTCGTGGTACCCACTTTTGGTCTCACAATTCAAGTTATGTATGTATGCTGATGATGGACATGCTCTTTCTTACTAACCCATTAGTATTCATTGGCTAATTTATGTACGTTGTTGAATTTGCATCCATATCAGGTCTCACCGTAAATTGTACTAAATCTGTTGTCATGCCTATTAATATTGCTAAGCCCTTGGGGGAGTCCCTCCAAGGTTCTTTCCCATTCCGCTGGGCTACGGACCGGATCCTAAATTTGGGTATTTTATCTTACACCCAGGGACTCTGGGTTATTTGCAGCCAAATACCCACCATGGTGTGTCTCTGTCAGGAATGGACTGGCCAGCAATAGTGGGACTCAGCTGCCTTATGAGCTGCAGTACCAGGGCTGGCCAGCGGGTGCTCCCAGCAATCAGAGACTCAACCTTGCAGCCAGTCCCAACACCTGGAACTAATTATACTGGTGTATTTAACGGGACATTCAGACCTGCAGACTCTGCCTTGGTGTTGGTGTTTCTCTTGGGCCCTGTATCCTGTTCCTGCTCTCTGTTCCTGTCTGATTCTCTGCTGACCCTGCTCTGATCCCCTGGCTTGTCTGACCATTCTCCTCTGCCTGACCCTCTGTACCACGCTGCCCGCTACCTGCTGAACCTGGCCTGTGACCCCGACCATTTCCGCTTGCTCCCCCTGTACCTACCTGCCCCGACTGATATTGACCCGGCCTGCCTGACGACGCTTGGCATTGTATGTACTGTTATCTGTGGGTGGTTGGTTGGTTTGTTTGCACTGTGTTATGTTTTAGTATTGCACTGCGTTTATGTTTGTATGGTTAGTGTTAATAAATTACATTGTTTATAACATATCTCAAGTCTGCGTTTCCCTGCGTCAGTCACACACCTCTGGTCATACCCGGGAGCCCTGACATTACACCAAGGCCAATCTGACCAGAAGTGGCTGCACAGGGAAGCCATCTTGGCTTGTTGATGGGAAGGATGGATCTGGATGAAGTTGCGTATTTATATCTGCTAGTGTTTGATATGACAGGGAGTATGCTTATCAAACTCTGAAGGAGTATCCCCGGGATGAACTGCTAGAATGTATTATGGCTCGCTCATGTTCTAGTAGATCAGGGCACAGAGTTCTCTGAGGTGCAGCCTTTGATTGAGGTTTGTGCTGAGTTGGTTTCATCTGGTACCCCACCCGAATGCAGGGATAAATTTTTGCCACCATTTAGTGCAGACCAGGTAGAGTCCCTGGTGTGGTTATTAGAGGATGATGTGGCATTACTTCTTGGAGCGTTATTCCACAATGTTCACCACAGACACTAAGAGATTGTATAAACGCAGTGCAGTCTTTGGTCAGACAGGCTTTGTGTAATGCTCAGCTTTGTTCAACCCATACTGCAGACATGGACAGACTTGTTGCACCCAGCCTCAGTTTTTAGCCTACAAAAACCAGTCCGTGCTTCTAATCTATAGTTCCTCAAAACTCTACTCCTGCATTCCCAACAGCCTCCTCCTGCCCTGCTATCTACCGCATGTCAGTACCTGTTCCCACTCGCTGGCACCTATCCTGCCTTTTAACCCTGTAAAAAAGCCCTCTGTAGCAACTGCTGCTCCCTCTCCTGTTCCATCCTCCAGCTCTTCTCTGTCTCCAGTTGCTCCATTCGTTTGCAGACCTGCGTTTACTTGCAGTGCTCCAGTAGTTAAAACCCAGAAAAAAGCGAAAATTCTTTCCAAATACCAATACCATCCTGCCAGTATCCAAACCGGTGAACCTGCCTTTCCGTGGTTCAGCCCTGAAGCCTCTACTCAGCCTGAATCCTCTACTCAGCCGGACGCCAGCATTCAGCCTGATGCCTCTACCCAGCATTGATGAACTGATTCAGCCTGACGATCCTATTAGGCCAGTTGACTCGATGCCCGCTGTTGATCCAGATGATCCGGTTACCTGATCCGGTGCCTGCTGTCGTGCCAATTGACTCGGAGCCCGCTGTCGTAACTGGTGATGACTCGTGCCCCACTGCCTTGCCAGATGACGCGGTGCCCGCTGGCGAGCCAAATGACCTGATGCCTGGTGACCCAGTGCCCGCTGTCATACCTGGTGACCCGATGCCCGCTGTCGAGCCAGACGATCCAATGCCATGGTGACCCGGTTGCCCACTGCCTTGCCAGATGGACGCGGTGCCCGCTGGCAAGCCAAATGACCTGATGCCTGGTGACCCAGTGCCCGCTGTCATACCTGGTGACCGATGCCCGCTGTCGAGCCAGACAATCCGGTACCTGATGACCCGGTGCCCACTGTCGTGCCTGTTGACTCGGAGCCCACTGCCTTGCCAGATGACGCGGTGCCCGCTGTCAAGCCAAATGACCTGATGCCTGGTGACCCCGGTGCCCGCTGTCCAGCCAGACGATTCAATGTCTGCCCCCAGTGCCCGCGGTCATGTGCCAGTTGACTCGGAGCCCACTGCTTGCCAGATGACGCGGTGCTCGCTGTCGAGCCAAATGACTTGATGCCTGGTGACCCGATGCCCCGCTGTCCAGTCAGACGATCCAATGTCTGACCCAGTGCCTGCGGTCATACCAGTTGACTCGGAGCCCACTGCCTTGCCAGATGACGCGGTTGCCCGCTGTCGAGCCAAATGACCTGATGCCTGGTGACCCGATGCCCGCTGTCCAGCAAGACGATCCAATGTCTGACCCCAGTGCCAGCGGTCATGCCAGTTGACTCGGAGCCCACTGTCGTGCCCTGGTGACTCGGTGCCACGCCGCTCCGCCTGGGGGTCCGGCGCCCGCCGCCCCGCCTGGGGGCCTGAGGACCTGTCGCTCCGCCTGAGGGCCCGAGACCTGTCGCTCCACCTGGGGGTCCGGCGCCCGCCGCTCCGCCTGAGGGCCCGAGACCTGTCGCTCCGCCTGGGGGTCCGGCGCCCGCCGCTCTCCGCCTGAGGGCCCGAGACCTGTCGCTCCGCCTGGGGGCCCGAGACCTGTCGCTCCACCTGGGGGTCCGGCGCCCCGCCGCCCTGCCTGGGGGCCCGAGACCTGTCGCTCCACCTGGGGGCCCGCGGCGCGCGCTCGCCCCGCCTGGGGCCTGAGACCTGTCGCTCCACTGAGGGCCCGAGACCTGTTGCCAGCCCCACGGGGGCCCGGTGCCTGCTGCTCTGCCCGGGGGCCCGGTGCCTGCTGCTCCGCCCGGGGGCCTGCTGCCTGCTGCTCTGCCCGGGGGCCCGCTGCCTGTGCTCCAGCCTGGGGGCCCAGTGCCTGCTGCCCCGCCTGGGGGCCGGTGCACTGATGCCTCAGCACTGGTGGACCACTGCCATGCTGCTTCGCTCTGGTAATCCGATGTGCCTCTGCCCGGAGAGTCCAGCCCGATGTGCCTCTGCCCGGAGTCCAGGCCCGGATGTGCCTCTGCCGGAGTCCAGCCCGCCGATGTGCCTACTGCCCCTGGAGTCCAGCCCGATGTGCCTCTGCCCGGAGTCCAGCACCGATGTGCCTCTGCCCGGAGTCCAGCCCGATGTGCCTCTGCCCGGAGTCCTGCCCGTGTGTGCGCAAGTCTTTGATATCCCGCCAGTTACCAGACCTGGGCGGTGGAACACATTTTGCCCAGCTAGAGACTGTTTGGAGCGTCCTGAGGCCGCTCCTTGAGGGGGGGGTACTGTCAGGAATGGACTGGCCAGCAATAGTGGGACTCAGCTGCCTTATGAGCTGCAGTACAGGGAACTGGCCACAGCGGGTGACTCCCAGCAAATCAGAGGACTCAACCTTGCAGCCAGTCAAACACCTGGAAACTAATTATACGGGTGTTATTTAAGGGACATTCAGACCTGCCAGACTCTGCCTTGGTGTTGTGTTTCTCTCTTGGGCCCTGTATCCTGTTCCTGCTCTCTGTTCCTGTCTGATTCTCTGCTGACCCTGCTCTGATCCTGGCTTGTCTGACCATGTTCTGCTCTGCATGACCCTCTGTACCACGCTGCCCGCTACTGCTGAACCTGGCCTGTGGACCCCGACCATTCTCCGCTTGCTCCCCCCTGTACCTACCTGCCGACTGATATTGACCCGGCCTGCCTGACGACGGCTTGCATTGTATGTAACTGTTATCATGTGGGTTGTTGGTTGGTTGGCTTTGTTTGCACTGTGTTATGTTTTAGTATTGCACTGCGTTTATGTTTTGTATGGTTAGTGTTAATAAATTTTTTTACAGATTGTTTAATAACATATCTCAAGTCTGGCGTTTCCCCTGCGTCAGTCACACCACTCCTCTGGTCATACCCGGGAGCCCTGACCAGTCTCATCTTATACTTTGCTTAAGATTTGGCATGGGTACCTCATTTTTGAGTAGAGTCACGGCTGTAAAATGAATGTTTTACCTAAACTCCTTTATTTATTTTTTGGAGCGCTCCCAATATTGGTCTCTAATGCATTTCTTGATTCATTTTCAACAAGTCATTAATAATTTCATCTGGAAGTAATAGTTCGCCCAGTTTTACCTCATTCTGTCCGTATATAAATCGCAACACACAGGAGGCTTATAGGCCTTCTCAGAATTTTTGGCTTTATTACTATCTGCCCGTTTCTCTCAACTGCGCAAATGGGCAACTATTAACTCCCAGACTCCCTGGGTTAGATTTGAAATCTCAATCTATACACCCGTATTTTTTATTTAAATTTTGGGGGGTTTTTTTGGGGGGGTTTTTTTTTTTTTTTCCCTTTTTTTTTTCCCCCCGGGGGGGGGGTTTTTTTTTTTTTTTTTTTTTTTTTTTTTTTTTTATTTTTTTTTTTTTTTTTTTTTTTTTTTTTTTTTATTTTAAAATTTTTTTTTTTTACCTTTTTTTTTAATTTTTTTTTTTTTTTAAAATTTTTTTTTTTTTTTTTTTTTTTTGGGGGTTTTTTTTTTTTTTTTTTTTTTTTTTTTTTTTTTTTTTTTTTTTTTTTTTTTTTTTTTTTTTGGGGGTTTTTTTTTTTTTTTTTTTTTTTTTTTTTTTTTTTATTTTGGGTTTTTTTTAAAAATTTTTAAAAATTTTTTTTTTTTTTTTTTTTTTTTTTTTTTTTTTTTATTGGTGTTTTTTTTTTTTTTTTTTTTTTTTAAAAATTTTTTTTTTTTTTTTTTTTTTTTTAATTTTTTTTTTTTTTTTTTTTTTTTATTTTTTTATTGTTTTTTAAAATTTTTTGGGTTTTTTTTTTTTTTTTTTTTTTTTTTTTTTTTTTTTTTTTTTTTTTTTTTTTTTAAATTTTTTAAAAAATGGGGGTTTTTTTTTTAAATTTGGGGTTGGCTTTTTTGGGGAAAAAAACCCAAAAAATTTTCCAAAAAAAAAATTCCCCAAAAAAAACCCCCCAAAAAAAAATTTAAAAAGGGGGGGGAAAAAAAAATTTTACCCGGAAAAACCCCTTTTTTTTTAAAAAAAAATTTTTGGGGTTTTTTGGGGGAAAAAAAAAAGGTTTTTTTTGGGGGGGGGGAAAAAAAAAAATTTTTAAAATTTTTCCCCTTTTTTTAAAAAAAGGGGGGGGGGGGGGGGGGGTTTTTAAAAAAAAAAAAAACCAAAAAAAAATTTTTAAAAAAAAAAAAAATTTAAATTTTTTTTTTAAAAAGGGGGGTTTAAAATTTTTTTTTTTTTTTTCCGCTTTTTAAATTTTTTTTTTGGGCCCCTTTTTTTTTTTAAAAAAAAGGGGGAAAAAAAAGGTTTTTTTTTTTTTGGGGCCCCAAATTTTCCCTGAATTTTTTGGGGGTTTTTAACCCCCAAAAAATTTTTAAAAAAAAAAAAAAAGAAATTAAAATTTTTAAAAAAAAAATTTTTTAAAAAAAAAGGGAAAAAAAAAAAAAATTTAAAAAAAAAAAAAATTTAAAAAAAAAAAAATTTTGGGGGGGGGTTTTTTTTTAATTGGGGTTTTGGGGGGAAAAAAAGGGGTTTTTCCCCCCTTTTTTTTTTAAAAAAAGGGGGGGTTTTGGAATTTAAAGGGGGGGAAAAAAAAAAAAAAAAAATTTTTAAAAAAAAACCCAAAAAAAACCCCCCCCCCGGGGTTTAAAAATTTTTAAAAAAAAAAATTTTTTAAAAAATTTTTTAAATTTTTTTAAAAAAAAAATTTTTTAAAAAAATTTTTAAAAAAGGGGTTTTTTAAAAAATTTTTTCCCTTTTTAAATTTAAAAAGGAAAAATTTTGGGGGTAAAAAAATTTTTTTAAAAAAAAATTTTTGGGGGGGCAAAAGGGGGGGGGAAAAAAAAATTTTTTAAAATTTTTTTTTAAGGGGGGGGGGGGAAAAAAATTTTTTTTTTTTAAAAACCCAAAAAAAAAAAATTTTTACCCGGGAAAAAAAAGCCCTTTGGAAAACAGTTTTTGGGGGAAAAAAAAACCAAAAAACAAACGGGGAAAAAAAAATTTTTTAAAAAAATTTTTAAATTTTTCCCCCAAAAAAAAAGGGGGGGGGTTTTTTTTAAAAAAAGGGGGGTTTTAAAAAAAATTTTTTTGGGGGGGGGTTTTTTTTTTTTCCTTTAAAAAAGGAATTTAAATTTAAAAAGGGTTTTTTTAAAAAAAAGGGAAAAAAAAAGGGGAAAAAACCCCCCCTTTTTTTTTGGGGGGGGGAAAAAGGGAAAAAAAAGGGGGTTTTTTGGGGGGGGGAAGGGGGTTTTTTTGAATTTTTGGGAAAAATTTTTTTTTTTTAAAAAAAATAAAAATTTTTAAAAAGGGGGAAAAAATTTTTTTGGTTTAAAAAAAGAAAGGAAAAGGGGGGAAAAAAAAAAATTTTGGGCCCAAAAAATTTTTTTTTCCCCCCTTTAAAATAAATTTTTTAAAAAGAAATTTATTTTACAGAAATTTTGGGGTTTTTTAAAAAAAAAATTGGGGGGAAAAAAACCTTTGTTTGGGAAAAGGCCCCCAAAAAAAAAAAAAAATTTTTTTTAAAAAAAAAAACCCCCCCCCCTTTTTTTTTAAAAAATTTAAAATTTTTTTTCCCCCTTTTTTTTTTACCGGTTTAAAAAATTCCGGGGTTTTCCCCGGGGGGGGCCCCCCTTTTTTTTAAAAAATTTTGGTTTTTTAAATTTTGGGTTTTTTTTTTTCCTTTTTAAAAAAATTTTTTTTAAAAAAAATTTTTTTTTTTTTGGTTTTTAAAAGGGAAAAATTTTGAAAAATTTTCCCCTTTTAAAAAAAGGGGAAAATTTTTTTTTTTGTGTTTTTTTAAAAAAAATTTTTTTAAAAAATTTTTTTTTGGGGGGTTTTTTTTTTTTGTTGGGGTTTAAAAGGAAAAAAAAATTTTTTTTTGGGAAAAAAAAAAATTTTGGGCCCCCCCTTTTTTTTTTTTCATAAACCAAATTGGGGAAAAAATTTTTTACCCTTTTTTTTAAAAAAAAGGGGGGAAAAAAAAAAATTTTTTTAAAAGGGTTTTAATTTTTTTCCCAAATTTTTTGTTAAGGGGAAAATTTTTTTAAAAAATTTTTTTAAAAAAGGGGGGGGGGGGGTTGGGGGTTTTTGAAAAATTTCCGGGAATTCTTTGGGGAAATTCCCTTGGGGTTTTTTTTTTGGGCCCCCCCGGGGTTTTTTTTTTTAACTTTAAAGGGGGGGTTTTTAAAAAAAGGTTTTTTTGGGGGGGGGGAAAAAAAAAAAAATTTAAAAGGGAAAAAAAGGGGGGTTTTTTTTTTTTTTAAAAAATTTTTTTAAAAAAAAAAATTTTTTTTTTTTTTTTTTAAAAATTTTTTTAAAAAATTTCCCTTTTTGGGGTTTTTTTTAAAACCCCCGGGGGGTTTTTTGGGGGGGGTTTTTAAAAAAAATTTTTTTTTAAAACCTCTAAAATTTGGGGGGGTTTTTTTTTTTTTTTCCCCCCCCCCCCTTTTTTTTTGGGTTTTAAAAGAAAATTTTTTTTTTTTAAAAGGGGTTTTAAATTTGGGGGTTTTTTTTTTGGGTTTTTTAATTTCCAAAAATTTTTGGGGAAAAAAGGGGGTTTTCCCCAAAATTTCCCCCTTAATTTTAAAAAAAACCCCAAATTTTTTTAAATTTTTTTTTTTTTCCCCAAATTTTTTCCCTTTTTTTGGGGTTTTAAAAAGGGGGGAAAAAAAAAAAAAAATTTTTTCCCTTTAAAATTTAAAAATTTTTTTCCCCTTTTTCCCCAAAAAAAACCTTTTTTTAAAATTTTTTTTTTTTTTTTTAAATTTTTAAAATTAATTAAACCCCCAAAAACCAAAATTTTTTTTTAAAAAAAAAATTTTTTTTTTAATTTTTTTGGTGGGCCCCCCTTTTTTAAAAAAAATTTTAAAAAAACCAAAAAAACCCTTTGGGGAAAAAAAAATTTTTCCCCAAAAAAT